CTAACGTTGATTCAACATACAAGTCACCGACCACTTTCAATGTTGTTTCAATCATTCTGTGCTATCTGGGAGGTGTGGACATGTCCTCACCCAGCACCGTGATGCTGACGTTCTCACTCTTCTGTCCAGAAGACGCTTCACACCAGAACTGTCCAGCTGCAGGTCCAGAGAGGCTGAGGACACAGGACGGACCGGAACCAGAACCAGGTGGCCCACAGTCCCCAGCCGGTCCTGTCCCCCTCACCGTCCATCCCTCAGCCGTCCGTCCCTCATGAAGACAGCTCAGGGACACCGAGGAGTCCCCGGTGAAGAACTGCTGCAGGTTTGGACTGACGGACAGAGACACTGGAGGACAGACGGAGACAACGTCTCACCTCACGGACCGGACCGGACTTCAGGTTCTGGTAGAACCATCCACTCACCTGGAGACGCTGACGCTCCACACAGCAGCAGCACAGAGACACCTGCAGGTTGCCATGGAAACAGAGAGAAGGTGAGAAACCTGGAGGGATGGGCTACTGGACCTTCCTCCATGTTGGTTCCTAAAGGCCGTCTGACATTTTGACTTTACTCCCTGAGAGCATGGAGGAGGAAACTCAACCAATCAATAATCAAATCCCTTCTGAATATGACCTCTGACCTGGATATGAACTGAACGTCTCTGACTGGGAGCTGAGAGTGAGAGACCGACGGACAGGAAGCTGTGGAGTTTATGGCTCATTGTGACCGTTAGCTGCAGCTCTATGTTTAGCTAACCATGCATAGCTAACTGTGTTTTGCTAACCACTCGTAGCTAACCACACGTAGCTAACCGCATTTTGCTAACCACGTTTAGCTAACCATGTTTGGCTAACCACCCATAGCTAACCACGTTTAGCTAAGCACCCATAGCTAACCACGTTTAGCTAAGCACCCATAGCTAACAGCATTTAGCTAACTGCATTTAGCTAACCACTCGTAAATAACAGCATTTAGCTAACCTCGCATAGCTAACTGTGTTTAGCTAACCACTCGTAGCTCACCACACGTAGCTAACCGCATTTTGCTAACCACGTTTAGCTAACCACCTGTAGCTAACCATGTTTGGCTAACCACTCATAGCTAACCACATTTAGCTAACCACTCATAGATAACTGCATTTAGCTAACCACATTTAGCTAACCGCATTTAGCTAACCACATTTAGCTAACCACTCGTAGATAACTGCCATGATGTCTTCATCTGTGGTCTAAAAGTCTAGCAAACCTGTGACTCTTTGATACTGAAATTTCCCACACTCCTTGAAGGCAGCACTAGCATAAGCAGCATAATGTGCAGGTGGTGAGATTGTGCTAAACTAGCGCTATAAACCTGCAGTCGATGTTTCATTGATTCATGGATTTGAGATTTGAAACAATTTTTAAGCTGCAGGACAAAAACTGAATAAAATTAGAGAATGAATTTAAATTAATATTTATTAATGTGTGTCAGATCTGCTGTGTCTCAGCTTTCAATGAGGGTTAATTTAGTGCATAATATTGAAAGTATATAAAGGTTTAAATGGTTGAATATTTATGTGAAATACCTCCTTAGTTCTGCTGAGCAGGGCCGAATCCAGGAGATTTTTAACCAGGGCTGAAAGGGGGCCAGTGATGATGTTTGGGTTTTACACCAAAATAATGTTTAAAGTGTAAAGTTTTAAAACTGTTGAGGTCACCATGATACTCTTAAATACAGCCTGAGCCACAGGAGGAAACTGTCGATGTTTCTAAAATGTCCTGCAGGAAACATTTCCTCGTTTCCAGTTTCAGATGGAGCTCAGGAGTTTTACCTAGTTAGTCTATTTCGGCTGGTCTGCTGGTAACGAGCTCTTAAAGTTCCTGCTCCGCTGGCGGCAAACAAGGAGGAGGCAGATAAAAGCTTGTAGAGCTTTATTCCTCTTTTTGGCAAGGCTAACAACGAACAACGAGCTGGACAGCTAGAGTCTCTAAAACTAACACACTCAGCTCTTTTTCTTCTTCTTCTTCTAACCCAGGCAGTCCTGGAGGTCCGGTGTCCTGCAGCTCTTCATGTCTCCCTGGTCCAACACACTTGGATCCAACAGCTGAATCTCCTCCTCAGTGCAGTCAGGTTCTCCAGAGTCCTGCTAATCACGTCATTATTTGACTCAGGTGGGTTGAAGCAGAGACACATCTAAAGGTTACAGCAGACCCTCCAGGCCTGGAGCTGCCCACCCCTGTTCTAACCTAGATGCTGCTCTCTACCGCCCCCCTAAGGCTGGGCCTGTAACAGAAGTTTTCTGTCAGAGCTTTTACTAAGTTTAAGCCAGACTAAATTTAACACTGACACATAAAGAGCTGCTTGAAGTAGCAGAGTACAAACTAAACCTAAAGACATTTATAAAACATGACGACTGTCAGGTTTGAAGCCTCAGGGCCTAAGAACAGAGCAGCTACATGCTAAAGCTAATGTTAGATTATCTGTGCATCTCTTTATGGTGACGATGATCTGAATTTGGCTCTTAGTGCTGAACTGGCCCTCCACCACTGGCCTAGTCAAAGGAGCAGACGCTTTAGCTTGTTAAAGAAAGAAACGTAGCGGGTCAGAGCGCCGACTAAAGCTAAAGAAGAAAATCTGAATTAAATAATGTTTTAGTTTAAGTCAACCTCTAAAGTTAATCGGTCGGTTCTGGTTCTGGTTCTGGTCGGTCCAGATGGGCTGGATTTCAGGTCCGATCTGAGCCAGAGCAGATTTCTCCTCCAGATGTGAACCAGGAGGAACAGCTGGAGATTAAATTAATGATTAAATGTCTTTATGGACCTCAGAGTTTCTCCACTGAGGAGATTAAACTGAGGAAGTTTAATCTGACGTGTCCATCAGATTAATCTGGATTCATGAAGCTGCAGGAAAATAAAATGCAACCAAAGCTCCAGGTTAATATTATTTAAAACCCGACGGTGAAACAGAATAATTATTGGAGCCAAATATGTGTATTCTTGGTTTGGTCACTAGAGGGGGCTGTCGGCTCCTTCACCTATATAAGGAGGTGACTGGCTGTCACTCGCTGTGGCCGAGTCGTTATTAACACCGTTACTGTGTATTATTGTTTTATGGAATAAATGGATTTTGTTAAAGTTTCGTCTGACTGGACCAAGGTGGAGTTTGGTCCACCTTGGTCCAGTGGACCTCAGTCTTTAATCAGGACTGATTAAAGACCCGGTGAGCAGGAACCATGTCAGCCGTAACGGGTCAACGCTTAACCTGGTGCAGGTTGAACTGGCTAATGAACTGGTGAAGTTCTTTCAGTCTGTTTGTTATTGCAGCAGGAAGCCAGTTCAAGGCTTCACATCATAAAGACACAAAGTCTAACAGACGTTAGAACATAAATACGATCAGCACCATCATCAGGTCCATCATCAGGTCCATCATCAGGTCCATCATCAAACCCATCAGAACAAAGTCAAACATCATCAAAGTTTCATTTCGTCTCTAAAATCATTTTTAGTCTGAAATGTTTCACGATTCACTGCTCAACTCAGTTCAGCTGGTTTAGTTTGCTGGAAGTTTGTTCCAGATCTGTGCTGCATAGAAGCTGAATGCTGCTTCTCCTCTGTTTGCTCCGGTTCTGGAACCAGAACCAGAACCAGAACCAGACCCAGCAGGTTGATCCAGCAGCAGAACTTTAATCCGTTCAGTGATTCATCAGGATTTAAAGTCTCTCAGTGAAGGAACGTAGAACTAGGTGATGTAGAATAGAAACAGCATCTATTCTATTTCTCCTCTGGTCGGCTGGTCCAGAACCAGCAGCGGGTCAGAACCGACTTCCTGCTGCTGTAGGAACCAGAACCAGAGTCCAATGAGTTCATCTCTGATATTCAGTTTAATTCTCTGATTAACAACAAATTTAATCTGCAGACGTCTGACAAAATGTTCTGGTTCTGGTTCCCGTCAGTGGACCAGGACCAGAACCAGGACCAGAACCAGGACAGTCCAGGGGGAAGTTTAAATGTCCTCCCAGCCTGTCCCTCCTGTCCCATCAGACGGAGACGTTGGACTCACCGAGCAGCAGGCGGCTGGAGGAAGACTTCATGTCGTCTGGAGGAAGACTGCCAGAGAGCGACATCACTTCCTGTCAGGAGGTTCACACACCTCAGGGTGGAGAGTTTCCACTTCCTGTTGTCTCTGAGCTCAGAGCAGGTTTCACTTCAACCCACAGTCAGGATTAGATCAGCTGCTGTCAGACAGATTATTACAGATTATACCATTAGATTGTCTAGAACTATGTAGGTTACATCAGATTAACCAGATCTAGAACCTCCTGTATGTCTGTACCTCATAGATTATTACAGATTATTATTCTGGGTTATCATATTAAACCTGAATCAGGGATTATTCTGGGATGGACTGGAGTTAAAATTCATTCATTCATTGATGAATCAGTGATAATCTGGAGATGTTTTCCCTCTGTTTGGTTTTCTCACATCAGCCCAGATTATTCATGACTTCATATAATCTCAGTGTTGGGATTAGTTTCACTAGATCAGATTTTATTTGTATTTATTATGGTTTATTTTTTTAAATGCATGTTGATTGATTTGAACATACAATATAAACCCAGACAAACCAAACAGGAAGAAGAAGAAACAGAAAGCAGACCAATCAGCAGAGTCCAGGTCGTCCTTCCACATGACCTTCTGACAGGTTGGGTTGGATCTCTTCTGGACCTAGCCAAGTGGAAAACACCGACCACCAATCAAACTCTGACTTTGTCAAAGTTTAATCCATTAAACTATATTAACTCCTCCTTCCATGAGGATTCAGTAAATCACTTAGCTTCCAAACACTGAGCAGAGATTTATTTCTATTAGTGTTTTTAGTGTTTATTAATAATTTATCAGTGTTTTTAGTGTTTATTTCTGTTTATGGTTCAGGTTTTCTTTCCTCTTGGTTCCTGTTGGTTTAACCATCCAGTCTGCTTCCTCTTCCAGCTGTTGATCATTTCCTCATTTGCCTCGACCTGCTGCCTTCCCAGCTGCACCCACTGATCTGTAATCAGGGCCGGCCCAAGGCATAAGCTGCCACTTGGGGCCCCAGGGCCACTAAGGGCCCCCTCAGTGGAGCTGATTTTTTATTTCTATTAGTAATAATTTCTATGTCATTATAATATCAAAAACACACAATTTCATCGTGAAGTTATGTTTTTACAATAATATATATTTGATAATGTATGTAGAAATTATTATTTTATAGACAAAGAAAATAAGTAAATTGCTCTTGGGGCCCCCTGGTGGCCGCGGTAGGTACCGCAGCTCCGCTGGTACCATGAGCTGCAATGAGCATCCAAACGTCCAAAGCTCCGGTCAGAAGCTAAGCTAGCAAAACAATGTCTGGGAAAAGGACTCATCCTTCAGGGAGGGAGAGAAGAAGGAGGAAGAATAGAAAAAAGCCCAGATTAAGGTTTGTTTTAATGAGCCTTGGTGATGTAAAGATTAGTAAAGCTGCTAGTAGTAAATTAGCCTGATAGCGACTTGGACCGGTCCAGTTCAACAGCCAGACATTTATGCTAGGCTCTCTGTGTGAAACTGAGTTTAAACTGTAAATGAGTTGATTCTCATGGTGGTTCTGTATATTTCTGAGGTATTTTGGCTTCAAAACGCCAAGTTTGATAAGGTTTGATAATAATTAAAACTTATCAGTGTCTGACATCGTCTAGCTAAATGTTCCTCACCCTTTCTGGCCCTGCGCCCCCCAGCCTTCATCCAGGTCCCTCTCTGCCCCTCACCATAGAATCTGCAGACTACTCTGCACTGACTATTATTTTGTAAAATTCGGCTCCCATTTAAAGCAGAACTTACAAATACACACAAGGGGGTTACGTCACAGGCATCAGGCAAAATATGTTTCACCAGTTAAATGGAGAAGTAAATAAACAGCCAAACACTCAAATATGAAATTATGTTGACCTTTTGCAACCATGATTTATTACAAAAAAACACGAACTAAGAAAATAATAATAGTTATCCGGATAATAGTTATCCTGTTAGTACTCTCTCAAAATAAATTTAGGATAGGTTTAATCCACTTAGTTCATGTTAGTAAAGAAACTCAAATGGTTAAATGTCCAAATCTTCTTGATCCTTTTTAATACGAATATTGTCCAGAAACGAGTTCCATATCATGGGAGAATATCTCCTTTTTAATCCAAGGTCCCAATCCAAACGAAAAATGCCAAGCGTCAAAAACCTCCCCCCAAAAAATGAGAAAAAGGAGTGGTACCACCAAAAATCCCCAAAAAGAAACGTAAAGTCCAGATCTCACCGGGAATGTCTTTATTTCCCCCACCCTGTGGCGTCCTCCTGCACCTGGCGGCGTTTCCTGTGCACAAGCTCCAATCCAGCTCCTAAAGCGCCCGATCCGCGGCGCTGGGGCGAACTTTCATCTTCCGTTTTACCTCCTTACTTTGATTCATTATTTGTTATAAACGTTCAATTAATTCAAGTCTCCCGCTGCACGGATCTGACGGTGAGCGTCTTCCACTCTGATTGC